AAAAATACCTCACGTTCTGCCGTGCCTTTATGTCGCGATGTAGGGCCATTTAGCGTTTTCAAGCTTGGAATTTACAGAAAATCTTCTCTCTAATTAGAGAGCTACTCTTTCCAGAATTGAATAAACATGAACACTTAGTACTCCCTATAACTGTTTCAATAGCTGAGTAATAAGAAATGTATCCAATTTTTGCAAGAAAGTATAACAGAAGGGAATATGAGCTTACAAACTTCCTCTTGTTCACCCGGGGCGATTGTGTAAGACTCGGGGGTTGTCCTGGCGGTAGTCCTGTCTCTGTACGGGGGACGCAGACCAGCAGATAGAAGAAGATTTTAAGCCGCAATTCATCGTCATAACGGGGCTCAAATGACGATCACGATCAGTCTAGTCCAGCAGGTAAGTGCACTGAAACTTGACACAACGCAATTCATCCTCACATTATTACTTTGAACATATTCGAATTTCCTCCACATTTCACCTGAAAGTTACATAAATGCATTATCTATGTGATCCTCTCTCTGTTTCAAAGATATGAGGTTCAATAAAAGTAAAACAACTGGCGTTAAAAAGCAGCTGCGACTGAAAGTACGATTTCAAATTTTACCTGAGATTTGGCGAAAATAAGACAGGAAAAGAGGACATTCTAAGTTGAGGGATCAATTTTCTGTAGTAGTAATTGTTAGCAATACATGCCTCAGGTGTCTATCATGCAGCCCCAACTGATAAACTTAGTGACACGGATTTTCGCTAATTAACCAGCTTTCTGAGAAAATTCATCCGCCACTCACCTAATTAGGCCACGTGTGGGCCATGTCTGCCGATGACGCGTGTGCCGTTTGAAATTAAAATCCAATCGATCCACCTTCGCTGACACTGGCAATTGCTCTTCAGAAGTACGATGATAGGAACAGAGGCACTGTGGCTTCTGGCGACTATTGTTAGAAGACATTTGGGCTGGTTCGTCAGTTTGGCAGTTGTTCTGCAGGTTGCGGTCAATTGCATTGACCTCTGCGCACGGAAGACGAAGGTCGGCCGATATGTAGCGAGTGAGTATGCACTGATTTTCGCTATCTTCGTTTCTTCAATACCCAACGTGATTTATTTTACCTATTTTGAGTCCGTAAAGTACATTCAGTCGACATTTGCTCTCATTTAGACCACGGGGCAGATAGATAAACATTTTATTTTTTGTTAAACCACAGAAGACGCCCATATATCACATTTAGAATTTCTGTTAAATGCGTCTACGCGCATTCATGTTCGTTTGGAGCAATTTTTTGTGGGTTTGTTACCCTAACAGAAGTTCTCATCTTCTTTTAGTAATGGGTGCCATTTATCTCCGATACGGACTGCATCGACCGAAATATAGAGTAAAAATGTTGGATGATTCCGTGGAAGACAACGGTGGGAGACGGTAAGATTCACCCTGCAAGCATTGTGCCTATTTATGATTCATACCGTCTCAGGCGGGATGTCATTAGAAGATATGTGTGATTTCAGGTCAATGGGTGATGAATAATAAAGCATGGCGTCTGCTTTGACCGCGACTGCCACGGGAGACTATTGCACGCGGGAGTCTGAGGGTGAACCCTCGGTCTCTGCCCGCACAGTGGTGGCTGAAGCGTATGTCACTTATCAGAGATGCTTCAACTCA